AAATGAAATTTGGCAAATGAAAAGGCAAGTTAATAAAGAATGTCTGCACCCTGGCCATGTTCCAGTGGTTAGAGCGTTAGTCCATGCACCAAGGGTCGTGGGTTCGATTCCCAGTCAAGGGCATGTACCTGCGGGGCATGGGCAGGAGGCAACCAATTTATATTTCTCTTTTATCTCTCTCTCTCTCTCTCTCTCTCTCTCTCTCTCTCTCTCTCTCCCTCTCCTTCTCCTCCCCTCTCCTCCTTCCTTCCTTCCTTCCAACCTGTCTAAAAATCAATGAAAAAAATACCCTATTAACAAGAAATAAAAAGTGCCTGCTCTCCTGTGGGTAAGTCACCGTGTGTCTGAATGTAAGCGCGTGACCTGAAAGGCAGGATGTGGCATCTGTTAGAAACGGCGGGAGTGGCCAGGCACCGCATCCCTCCTGCGGTCGCCCTCCCGGAGCAGTGCCCTGCACTGGCCTTTCGCGCAGTCTCCGCAGCAGGAGCCAGGAGGAGGCCGCCTTGTTCGCCTCCTCCTTCAGGTCTCCGCCCAGGGAGCAACTTCAGCCCTGCACTTGGCTTCCCACCCTGCGGTGTCCACAGAGGGTACTGTGTTGGGAGGACTCCCCCCTGCCCCCGCCCCCGGAAGACCAGCGCCCCCTGCGCACTCCCTGGCAGCCCTGTGCTGGCCACGTGCACGGAGGGTTGAACCCTGAGGTCTTGCTGACACTCAGTCATGGCTCCGGTTCTCACTCTGCCTCTGGGGGGACAGCATTCGTCTTCTCTCCCCTCCACCTGATGGTTCAAGTACACGACACGCATGAATCTTCGGTTTCTGAGTCTGACCGCCCTTGCACCTTCCTTCCTTCCCAGGACATGTTTTGTAAGCGCCTCTGTCTCCTGGTCACACGGGTGGGCAAAAGTGGGTTTACAGTTGTGTGTATGCGAAACAGAGTTTATTCTTTTTTAAAATATGTTTACATTGATTTTAGAAGGAAAGGGAGAGGGAGAGAGAGAGAGAGAAACATCCATCGGCTGCCTCTTGCACACCCTCTATTAGGGACTGAGCCCAAGCCCACAGCCCAGGCATGTGCCCTGACCAGGAATCAAACCGGAGATCTTTGGTGCCTGGGATGACGCTCAACCTACTGAACCACACCAGCCAGGGCCAGAGTTTCCATTGCATTACTATTTATTTACTATTGTCTTACTGTTGGTGCTAACACCTGTAACCCTACTCTGGCCCCACCCTGTACTGTAGACACTCTCTCTGTCATTATCTGTGGCGCTGCCCAGCCTAGTCCTGGACGTCATACTGTGGGCGCTGGGCCAGGGAGGGGCACGCTGGCAATGTCACAGGCTGGGTGGCTGCCGCCGTTGTTCAAGGCACTTTCACAGGACATCGGTTTCCCTGCTGCAGAACCACCTCCCACAAGTCAGGGCCGCGCCCGGTGCACAGGTGAAGCGAGACCTGAGACACTGTGTTTGGAGAGAGAGGTTGATCGGTTTGGCCGAGGGGTGGGGACAGGAGAGCAAGACCTGGCAAATCCTTCTCCCCAAAAGCAAACGCGGGGAGTTTAGCAGCTGAGGAGTTGGGGGGCGGGTGTCAGGGAACAGGGAAGCCTGTGTCTTAGCCACAGGTAAGCTTTTCACATCGGACTCCTGTGCCTCGCTGTTCTCTCCTCCACTGATACAGAGCGAGGGCCGGGCTGAGGACCCAGGATCTGCGAAACGGCTCACAATTGCATGTCAGTGGCATTATCGTTCAAGCAGAAAGTAGGCATCCTCTGACTATCACTGTGGCTTGAGGGTTTGTCTTGTGCTTAACCAGCTATATTTCTCTATTCTTTCAAGCAAAGTGCACTTTTATTTATTTTTATTTTTTTAAAATATATTTTATTGATTTTAGAGAAGAAGGGAGAGGGAGAGATAGAAACATCAATGATGAGAGAGAATCACTGATTGGCTGCCTCCTGCGTGCCCCCCACTGGGGATCAAACCCGCAGCCCAGGCATGTGCCCTTGGCTGGAATCGAACCCGGGACCTTTCAGTCCACAGGCTGATGCTCTATCCATTGAGCCAGACTAGGATAGGGAGAATTCTCTTTTGTGTTGCTTTGGTTGCTCTATACTCCTGGCTCATGGGTTGCTTTTGCTCCTGCTTCCTTGCATTTGCCTGTGTTCCCTCCACAGCAGGTGGTCCTGTGGACCCCACATGCAATGGACTGATGAACTGTACAGCTGGAAACACAAGCTTAACTAGCCGGATGCTGGAATGGACCTCTGTTCCTACATGGGAAAGAAACTCCGGACACTGGCCCTGATTTTAGCTTTACTGAAACCACAGCAACTGGCTGGAATCGAACCCGGGACCTTTCGGTCCGCAGGTCGACGCTCTATCCATTGAGCCAAACCAGCTAGGGCCAAAGTGCACTTTTAAATGTTTCCCCTGGAACTGGCTACCCGGGCAGGCCTGCAGACAGGCTACCACACTTCCGCGGCCTGCCACTCTGAGCCACACCGCAGCCACAGCAGCGGGAACACAGTTAAAGTCTGTACCTCGGTCCTAATTAAGAACTAAATCACTTCTAGCTCCACAAATACCAAGGAGGTCAAAATGTCAAGGAAGTTGGGCTACAACACTCCTTGCTGGTCAAGAAATTGACAGAAAGCAAAAGTCCTCAACTTTTTTTGCATATAAGCATCTAATAGATGTGTTTGAAGTAGAATTTAGAATTCCAGATTCTTCTAATAGGAAACAAGATTCAAAATAGATCACTTGTTCCAGCTGATGAAACTGGCACATTCATTGTATCTTGTCAGACCTTGGAGACTCGGTGGTCAGTGGTCATGTATTTGGTTGTGGACAGTGACCATGGATATCATCTGATCAGGGTTCAGGAACGTCGTGAGATTGTCCCCGCAATGTTGGTTGTAGGCATGGTGCTGCTTCAGGATTCATGCTACTCGCAAAGTTGATGAAAAGGGTGTATTTCCTTTGTCATCGTGGGCGAAGGGACAAGCTGACCCATCAGCAAGATCCTATCACTTCTGGGCATCGACGCTCATATAGAAAACTCAGTCCAACAGGAAGTGATGTTGTCTCAGTGTAACATTCTGTCCTGATTCCTTGCTTATGTTTAGTCTCATTTTTAAGGTCTGAAAGGGCACTTTCTTAATAGGTAAATTTTGGATGACAAATAAGAACACTGGTAGAAATTTCTAAACAGCTGTAGAACTATTTCTGCTAAGACTATAATGACTCTCAGAATTTTTATTTTTTTATTTTTTGGTAACCCTCCCAGGAGGATATTTTTTCCATTGATTTTTAGAGAGAGTGGAAGGGAGGGAGTGAGGCGGGGAAGAGAGAGACATCGATGTGAGAGAGACACAGTGATTGGTTGCCTCCCACACATGCCTCAGTCGGGGCCTGGGATTGGACCTGCAACCGAGGTCTGTGCCCTTGACCGTAATCGAACCTGAGACCCTTCTGTGTGTGGGCTGATGCTCTAACCATTGAACCACCTGCTGAGACACTCAGAGTTTCCTTTATTTGATAACCTAGAGAGTGAATGCCAGTTGCTTAGAGTTGAATTTTTCTTAATTTGAACCTTGGGTCATCCATGTTAAATATTTGGGCGCCAGGTATTCATTCTTTGCCAGCCCATAGTTGAGTATCATTTTTATTTTGATTTGCAGCAATTTGAGGCGCTCCAAGAACTCGCGGTCTTGAGTGAAGAAGTGTCTGTGCATGGAGTCGCCTGCACTTTGAGGTCATCTCATTCTGTTCCATCCTGACTTGGAGCATGTGTGTTGCAGCGATTGCTCTAACGGAATGTTTTGTGACCTGTGTACTAGTATAGGCAGAGTTGGAAATCCTCCATCTGCCATGTGACTGACTCCGTTTGCCCTGGAGAGCCCTGTCGCCCTTGTATAATTAATCATTCTAATTACTAATATATCCCTATTCTATTTCTAACTTACTATTAATTATCAACACTACTTCCTTCGTCTCTCAAAGGGTCCCCATTTGAGCTGTAAATTACACAATCATAATAATTTGAAAGGAGCTAAAAATTTGGCCTCAGCAGCCAGTGTGACTGATTTAATTTCTAGATTTATTCCACCTTTATCATCCCTTTAGCAATGTTGCCAGATGTCACCCCCAATCCCTGCTGAAATGCAAATATGGTTCCGGGCGGGGGGTGATACCCAGCGTGGGGACAGGGGAGGTAACCTTGAAGACAGGCAGCTCCCCTCGCACCTGGTGTGTCTGCCAGCCTTGCATGAGGAGGGCCAGAAGGAGGGAAGGCTCACGGCGGGGGATTGAAATGGGCACACTGCGCGCACTAAGTGAACATGGGACTTAGTAGCTGAGGTTAACAGTGTGACATGCATGAGAGAGAGGTGAGAGAGGACTTAGGGCCAGAAATGTAACATACTTGGGGTGATTCTGTGGGGTTCATGGCTTGGCTGCAAGAAGGGAAAACTCTACAATGATTACTCTGTGCTGTGGAACCCAGTTTGTTGGATAGAGAAACATTAAATTCGCACAAAAGCTGCAAACATAATAAATATCAGATTCTTTTTTTGTTGTTGTTTGTTTGTTTGTTGTTGTTGTTGGTTCTCACCCAAGGATACATGTTTCCATTGATTTTTTAGAGAGAGTGGAAGGGGGGCAGGAGGGAGAGAGAGAAACATCCATGTGAGAGAGAGGCCATGATTGGTTGCCTCTGCTGCACAAGCCCAGATCGGGCCAGGGGATGGAACCCACAGCCCTTCGGTTCATGGGCTGAAGCTCTAACCACTGAGCACTGGCCAGGGCTCCGATTCTTCCTTAAGGTTTGCTCCGGGGCAGGGAAGACAGAGGCCGAGGAGCGAGCTCCGTGTTGCTGCAAGGGTGAGAGTGGGCCCCGTCCAGGTTTCCGTGTCTTGGGTCTTCGGTTATGTGGAGAGCACTAGCTTGGCTCGCCCTGTGTCTGTATTTTCTCACCGGGTTTCTCTTCCATGTTGTCTCCAGGAGCTGGTGGGGAGTAACCCTCCGCAGAGGAACTGGAAAGGGATCGCCATCGCGCTGCTCGTGATCCTGGTCATCTGCTCCCTGATCGTCACCTCGGTCATCCTGCTGACGCCAGGTACCGTTCTGTCCCAGAGCCGGAGCCACTGCCAGGGCACCGGCGCCACTCACTCACCGGCTTCTTTTAAGTAACAGCCTATTGCAGAGTTTGTTTCCCGGGTTCTAATTTTCCATGTGCCTTTGGTAAAATCAACAAGTAAAATCCATTTCACGTGCTTTGATTTTCATATATACTTGCTGACCAGGTGGGAATGCTCAGCAGCTATGGGAATTCGCAGCACTTATTCATGCTTGACGAGCTGAAGACAGCGGCATGGAAATGGAAAGATTTTAGATATCGCATACACTGCATCAAAGATGAATTAAAAACAACATGTATGGATTGTGACTAAGAATAGAGTACATATTAGATACTGCTGATGAAATGAAGTATAAAACAGTCAGAAATCGTTCAGGGAAGAGGAAATATCAGCAGCAAAAACATGTAGGTACAAGGACAGTGAATGTTCTGCAGGGAAGGGGTGTAGAAGACTAGAGGAGAGGCTTAGGGAGGAAGTTCATGGGTGAGGTCAGACATAAAGGGGCGTTCCCACGGTAGGGAGGTGAGGGAGAGAAGGCAGCCTGGCCTGGAGGGGAACCGTATGGGGAGGCAACCAATCAATGTGTCTCTCTCACATCGATCTTTCTCCCTCTTTCTCTCTGTCTTTCCCCCTCCCTTCCACTCTCTCTAAAAATCAATGGAAAAATATCCTTGGGTGAGGATTAACAACAGCAACAACAAAAGAGCAATGAGATACACGGATGATAATGGAATAAAGATGGGGGAGATCATTTCAATGGATGCAGAATAAGTACTTGACAAAAAA